TGTACACCCTTGAGAGCAGCCCATGCCTTTGGTCCCTTTGCTGGTTCACGCTGAAAAGGCTTGATGTGACGGATTTGGCTGCTCCCCAACGCTTGCCCAAGTAGAAGGTAGCCTTGTGCGCTCTTCCGCACCCACGGGCTCTTCTCCGCGTTGTTCTCGGGGCGCTTCTCCGTTCCTTCCATCACCTCCAGCAGATCATAGTGGTCAAAGATGTTCTCCATCTTGAAGGACCACTCAGCAAAGTTGTCACCGTTGAACTTGTCAAGGCCAAACACTCTAGGCTCATCCCTAGAGGGTCCAAGGCTAGGTTGCAACGGAGCAACGGGTGGATCTTGGTGTTGACCTTGTGCTTGGGCGTCTTCTCTACCTCCAGCACCTCTGCCAACCCCTTCCTCAGGTCTAGGCATGGTCGAGACAGCTCCAAGGGGCTCTGATACCACTTGTTATAATCACAATAGGCTTAGATGTGCCTATAATGAGAGATAGAGAGCACAGTCGGATTTCCGTCAGACGGCTTCAAATATTGATAACGATCTGGTCACTGAATCAAACGGTAATCTGTAAATTGGATCTGAAGCGCGTTGGTGTCCTCTATCAGCAGCAAGTTAAATCATGAAATTCCATGAAGATTTGACGACGCTATGGTAGTTTGAATGGCAGGAGGTATAGCAGCCACAATAGTCTTAGGAGTACAAACTTAGCAAGAAGAGTTCGAGAGGGAGATGGTTCCTAGCCTCTACATACCCCAAGAGCCGAGGTCCAGGTTGGTGGTACACCACCACAGAGTCCCCAACCATGAAGAGTCTCGAAACCAACCCTCCAAGGGGCTACACCAAGTGAAATGTAACACTACCCGAAGTAACGTTACTATTTTCACTATTTAATATTTATCCGCGTCCCTTGGGCTTGAAATCTTGAGCTCTTGTTCTTGGATCTGCAAGATAAATTCTTCTTGAGTTGATGGGGGCTTGCTGCACACACCTGCGACACAATGGACACTTCACACTCGACAAAATAGAAAAAACACATGCGACACACAAACGACGACTTGACATGCGAGTTGTAAAAACTCGCTAATGTCTTGACCGACACAAACCACATTGTGATACACCATTCAAACACACACACAAGCACTGGATAGCAATGACATAGACTCACAATTCATTCCATGCCATGCATGCACACACACAAACAAGGACGACAAGCCGAGTGCAAGCCATAGGGTTGCACCAACAGCTGCCATTGCTGAATTTGCCTCTACCCGCCACCTTGACTATGCCACAACTCTAGTCTCTGGCCCTGCCTACCTTCCGTTCGTCGGGGGTGCTACTGCCCTTGGGAGTGAGGCCCTAGAGGACAGACAGTACGAGCTTGCTTTCCTGTCTAAGGCCGCTCCCCATCTCTGTTCCATGCTGCTAGTCCCGGAGGGTGACCCAAACGCCCTTGACATCCCGACCCCTCGCACTTACGCTGAGGCGACCTCGGGACCCTGGGCTTCTCAGTGGATAGCTGCCATGGAGTTGGAGATGGCATATTGGAGATCCACCGACACCTTCGTCGACGCAATTCCCCCACCTAACGTAGTCGATGGCCGGTGGCTCTTCGAGTTGAAGCGCCCCCCTGGAGAGCCGCCTGTGTTCAGGGCGCGCTACGTGGCTAGAGGCTTTAGTCAGCACGAGGGTGTGGACTTCTTTTAGACCTTTGCCCCAACCCTGAAGATGACTACTCTTCCGGCACTGCTACACGTGGCAGCACAGCGTGAATACGAGCTACACTCCCTCGACTTCTCCACTGCGTTTCTTTAGGGCAGTCTACCTGAGCCGCCCACAGGGCTTCACTAGTACCTTCCCTCCTAACACCAAGTGGCTCCTCCGGCGCCTGGTCTACGGCCTGCGGCAGGCACTTTGTGAGTGGCACGACATGCTGCATGCGACGTTAGCTGACCTGCGGTTCTTTCCGTCGTCTGCAGACCCCTTGCTCTTCGTTCATTCTGGACAGACCCCGTTCTACATCCTTGTCTTTGTAGACGACCTGGTCTTTGCTACTGCAGACAGAGACGCACTAGCCTCCGTGAAGGCCGCGCTGCTGAGGAGACACACCTGCACTGACCTAGGAGAACTGCATTGTTACCTTGGCCTGCAGATCACCAGGGACAGAGCAGCACACACCATCACTCTCACACAGTCACACTTGGTGCTCCAGGTTCTTCAGCGGTTCGATCTTCAGTTGTCCTCTGCACAGCCCACATCTCTGCTTGTAGACCACAGGCTCTCTGCTCCAGTTTCTGAGGAGTCAGTGGAGCCTCGTGGTCCTTACGCAGAGCTGGTGGGTTGCCTCATGTACCTGATGACTTGCACTGGTCCAGATCTTGCATACCCTCTCAGCATCCTGGCTCCTTTTGTGTCCACTGGGAGACAACGACCACAGCACTGGTCGGCGGCTAAGAGGGTTTTGTGTTATCTGGCAAGTACATTGGGCATGGGCTTGTGCTTGGAGGACGCAGGCCAATGGTCCTTACAGGGCACACAGACGCGTCGTGGGCAGACGACGTTGAGACACTAAGGTCCTCCCAGGGCTACTACTTTAGCCTTGGTCCATCTCGTGGAGGTCCACCCGCTCGTCGTCTATTGCCCAGTCTTGCTGTGAGGCCGAGATCTATGCTTGTGCCATGGCAGCATAGGAGCTCCGCTGGCTAACCTTCTTGCTCACCAACTTAGGTGAGCGGCCTAGCTTTGGCCCAAATCCTGTACGCTGAGAACAGGGCCATAATCCTCCTGTGCCAGGAGCCTTGGCTCGAGGGCAGAGCAAAGGACATCCAGCTGCGGTACTTTCTCCTGCGCGAGCTACAGCAATGCTGGTAGGCCCGCATAGTACACTTGGCCTCTGGTGCCAAGACAGCTGATATCTTTACTACGGCGCTTGCGCCTAAAGATCATCAGCGGCACTGTTTGCAGCTGGGTCTAGTTCCTGTAGCTCCTCACTTGCTAGGATCTTGATTGTGTGCTCCTCTTGATATATACCTTCTTGTCTGGCCTTGTGGCTTTTTCTTTTAGTGGTCGGACTAGTAGTGCCGCCCAGGTTTGCTCTTGTCGAGTTTGTACTCTTGTTGACTCGGACCCTTGTCTCAGAGGTTGGACTAGTAGTGCTGCCCTGAGTTGCTTGTCTCTTTCCAGGCACTGCCCCTTGTCCAATCTAGGGGGTGTGTCAAACATATTTGTATATGTTACTATAGCCTATATAGGGGCATGCGTACAAGAGTACAGCACATTAGGTCAAATCTACCATGTACCCTCCTTTCTAATTCATTTTGCTATTCGAAGAGACATGTCACTCGAATAGTCGCGATACACTACAAACAGATACATTCCGAATAGGTAGTTCCTAGCCTATAAATATGTCTGTATTATCCATTATTATTATCCTTGTCATTTCTCACATTTCCAATACAAAGTGTACAGTCTTCCACTGACTTTTAATCGTGGTTCCACCAATTCTAGATCTTGGCCACCCTAAACACGTGGTTCACTTTTACAATGCCATGCCATGCCATACCATTGTCGTGGCACTGGGATAACCCTGTCGATTCTCTCTCTCTAGGGAGGGTACTGGGGAGGCTTTACTCAGGGAAGGTGGATATATGGAGCTTAACCCTCTTTATGATATCCCTTCTTGTCCCAGTATTTAGGACTGGTGACTTTATTACTTGGTATCAGAGCCATCCGGGGTTCAATTCCTGGTGTACATGCTATCTCAGCGGGGGGGTGTGTCGTGGCACTGGGATAACCGTGTCGATCCTCTCTCTCTCTCTAGGGAGGGTACTGGGGAGGCTTTCCTCGGGGAATGTGGATATATAGAGCCTAACCCTCGTGATGATATACCGTCTTGTCCCAGTGGTTAGGACTGGTGACTTTATGACTACCATGCCATGCCATGCCATGGCTCTTTCAGACCTCACCCTGTAGTTGCCCTACTTGCAGGCCCGCCGTTGTCTACCATTTCGCCTCGCGTAGCAATGCAAGTGTGCACTGAACAACCTTATATAGCTGCAGCACCGTGCCACGCCATGCCACGTCACGCCATGCCATACCATGCTGTGCCATAGCGCATGACAACCTACTGTGCAGCATGTCACCATGCTGACACATGGAATCATTGCTGACTGACACCTTCAATTGCCTGGAGGGTGTGCAAGAGTTAAACACTCTGTTGTGGCAGAGCTGCTAGATGGGTGACCAGCCAAGCTGCATTGGCATCTAGTTATGCCCAAATTAGCCCATTCTAGCTAAAAACATCAATTGGAGGATAAGTTTAGGGCAATTGAATGTTCATGATACTAAGCACACCGAGATGTCTTCGACATTCTAGCAATTCGTGAGTGGCCGTTTCAGGAGTGGGCACATGGCGGGGATATCTGCTTGAGTCCCGACCGACAGTGGGGCACGCGGAACGTGTGCGGAGAGAATCGCCCGCTCAGTGCCTATCTCCTGATTCGGGGGAGTGCTAACAAGGTCGGCGGCTGCCCCTCCCGCTGACCGTTGTCGTGCATCCACCGTGCGCATCGTCCGGCCAATCATTCACTGACGACTGGAACTGTCGGACTTAGCGATTTTCGCAACCAGCCCTAATTGGTCGTGACCGTCTGCGCGTGCATTCCGTTACAGAATTGCATTGTCCGTCTCGCCAACCATTGCCCAGCCCCTATCGCTGCCAGCATCGATTCGCCGCGAAAAACAAAACCGCTTGTCGCAGCGTGGTCGCCTTCACCTCCATTCCCGGCACGCCGCAGTGGCTGGTCAGACACCAGCCGTCCGTCCCTCCCTGCCCCCATTTGCAAGCGAAAGAGCAGCGCAACCCAGCCCAATTCACGGTGGGCGCGGCACAAGGGGGCCGTTCGCTGGCAATTTTTCCTAGGGGAACGGGGAGGGGAACGGGCGACCAAATCCCGCGCGCATGGAATCCGCGCAGCCAAAGCTACGTAAATTTTTTTGTGTGCCCCCGTACTTTGGTAATCATAACGTCGCCGGCTCATGATTACGTCTGTCACGACTGCAGGACTGGATAAGACAAACTCGCGGACAGTGAAGAGTGGGGCCCATCAAAAGCCCTTTAGCCCATCGCACTTTCGTGGAAAATCTAGCGGAGAAAATGAGATTCACACAATTTTGTCAAAACTGCCCTTTTTTACATTTCAAAATGTGACCGATTGGATGGGTATGAGCTGGCGCAATTGCGCAAATCGACGGGTAGGATTGAAGGGGAAGTGGCTGCGGTTTTTTTTTTGGGTTTCGTAAACCTGCCCAGCCAAGAGGCATGCCAATCTTGGCCTGCCTCATACCACGATTTTGCAGTATGAGGTGTGGCACGTAGTTTGCCTGGCAGCTCTGGGCGGCTGATGGCCGCGCTTCGGGTTTGGCATGAGAAGGAGCACGCGATTTGGGGGCAATTGGTTTGGGGAAACCGAACCGACGCGACGTTTTCGCATGCTGACGTCACGTTTCGCAAATTGGGTTCGGCGAACCCACGAAGCCTCGATCGATGTACCCCATGCCCGATTTCCCTCGCCGTGCCGGTGAAAAATTGGTCAGCGAACACCCCCTCGGATGGGGAAGGCTGGGAGGCGCTGTGCAAAGCAAGCCATTGCCACGCCTCCTGTTCACTGCTGCCCATCCCTCCATCTGGACCCACCAGCACTCCCCTCCACTGAGAACAGCTAGCAGGGCGAGATATTTTGTAGCTTTGCTTGCCGCAGTAGACGGTGCATGCAGCCTAACAAGTTCACTCGTATCACTGTCGCCCGCGACCCCCCTTTTGACAACCGCCCTTGCCGTGCAGCCACCCGTCGCGCTGCGCGTCGCCGTCAAGGCCGTTCCACATTTAGGAGAGTCTCTCGCTCTCAGCCAGATGAGTGACTGCCAGCATTAGTGCGCGCGAGTAGCACCACACCTCTAGTGTCATCGCTCTAGCATCATCGTTCTAGCATCATCGCTCTAGCATCATCGCTCTAGCGTCATCGCGTTTCTCCCGCCTCGCCCGCTTCAATTCATGTCCGCAGCACCCTGCTCACACCGCCCTTTCGCCCTCATGTCGATCGCCGGAACCTCGCCCTTTAGTCGCTGATGACCGTCGCACGAGTGTGTCGCCCTTGTCGCAGCCGCCCGTACGCGTTTCGTCGCAGCCATGGTCGTCGCCACCGCCCCTCCTCCACCATGCCCAGCTGCCGTCGCCAGAATACAAACCACTCGCTAGTCGCCCGCCCGCGACTCAACTTGTCGCACAGTGTCGTCCGCGTTGGCCAGTCGCAGCGACCTCGGCTCCGCGCGGCCAGTCCGCGCAGCGTCGTCGTGGCGGCGGCGCTCCTCGCGCTCCTCGCGCTGCTCGCCCTCGCCTCGCCGCCGCGCTGCGCCGCGCGCAGCTCGCGCGGCCTCAAAGTGCATCTGCCGCCCATCGGCGCGGGGTGGAGCAAGGGGGGGAATAAAGGTGGCGGAAACAAAGGGGGGGGGAACAATGGCGGCGGAAATAAAGGCGGAGGGAACAACGGCGGAGGGAACAAGGGGGGCGGAAACTCCGGTGGAGGGAACAAGGGCGGGAATAAAGGCATCGGGCTTCAACCCGTGTCGTGTTATTTCGCCACCAAGGTAACCGCCAGGGTTATTCGCCACCAAGGTAACCACCAGGGTTATTCGCCACCAAGGTAACCACCAGGGTTATTTGCCACGAAGGTAACACCAGAGCTATTTGCCACCAAGGTAATCACCAGAGCTATTCGCCACCAAGGTTATCACCAGGGTATCTCGCAACAGTGGTACTCCCGACGGCGTGGTGTGGCGCGGGAGCTGCGGAAGGGCGTGGAGCGGCGAGAGCGAGAGAGGTGGGAGAGCGGGGAGGGAAGGGGAGGCATGGGGGCACACGGCAGTCCGCGCGTGCGAGTGGGATGCCGTTGATGCCGTTGATGCCGTTGATGCCGTTGATGCCGTTCATGCCGTTGATGCCGTTGATGCCGTTGATGCCGTTGATGCCGTTGATGCCGTTCATGCCGTTCATGCCGTTCATGCCGTTCATGCCGTTCATGCCGTTGATGCCGTTGATGCCGTTGATGCCGTTGATGCCGTTGATGCCGTTCATGCCGTTGATGCCGTTCATGCCGTTGATGCCGTTCATGCCGTTGATGCCGTTCATGCCGTTCATGCCGTTGTGCCCCTCTTGTGCCCCCCCGCGGCCCTGTCCGCCAGGCGTGCGACTTCGTGTTCAGCGGGTCGGCGTCGCTGGTGCCGCTGCTGCCGCTCTTCGCCATGCGCGCCGACCAGCCCCTCTCCGGCCCCATCCTCCACAAGTCAGCCCCCCCTCGCCGCCTCTCCCCTCTCCGCCTCTCTCGCGCTCTCCGCCTCTCTCGCGCCCACCGCTCCCGTCCGCTCTGAGCGCCCCAGTCTGAGCGGCCATGGGCGCATCTCCCATGCATGCACACACATGCATGCACACACATGCATGCACACCCATGCATGCACACACATGCATGCACACCCATGCATGCACACACATGCATGCACACACATGCATGCACACACATGCATGCACACATGCACACACATGCATGCACACACATGCATGCACACATGCACACACATGCATGCATACACATGCATGCACACAGATGCATGCACACACATGCACGAACTCACATCCACGCCCCTGCACTCACACAAATTTGCACAACAAGCATGCATGCACGCATGCACGCACGCACGCGCCACACTCATGCTCTCTTCATCCCCCTTGCATCCGTTGCTGCATGGGTGGCGCAGGAAGGGCAACCGCCCGGTCGTCTCTGCTGCCATACAGTCGTGCCGCGCCGTCACCACCCTCAACGTGAGTCACGCCGTCACCACCCTCAACGTGAGACGCGCTGTCACCACCCTCAACGTGAGTCGCGCTGGCTGCCGACTCCCTCCTCGCGCTTCCCCTTGCCCCTTCACAGCCACGTCGCGCCACCCCACAGGCCAGCCGCCTTCACACAGCATGCCTATGTGCTCTCGCCCCATGCGCCTCTCCTCTTCTCCCTACTTCTCACCCCTACCCTATTCGCCTCTCCTCGCCCATCTGTCTCCCTCCCCCCCCCTCCCCACCCCCCGCTGCCCCGCAGCTGCGTCTGCCGTCGTGTCCGGCCTTCTCCCTCCTGTCGCCCTCGGCCGCCAGCACGGGTGTGCGCCTCGCCGGCAAGCCGCTCTCCCTCATCCAGGTCGCGGTGAGTCAACAGCTGCGAGTCAACGGCTGCGAGTCAACGGCTGCGAGTCAACAGCTGCGAGTCAGCGCAGTGAAGTAGGCAGTAATGTGACTGCCCATCTTTTCCCCTTTCTGCCCGGCCCTGTGTGCTCTCCCCTATCTGCCCGCCCCTATCTGCCCGCCCCTATCTGCCCGCCCCTATCTGCCCGCCCCTATCTGCCCGCCCCTATCTGCCCACCCCTATGTGGCTGTCCGTGGCTGTGCGCATGCAGCAATACAGCGGGGCGTGCTTCACTCTGGACTTCGGCCAGATGGCGGTCAAGATGGGCAGCGGCCCACGCGGCATCACTCGACTGGTCCGCGGCGACGGCAACACCGAGTTTCCTGAGGTCACTGCGCTCTCGCCCCCATCTCCCCCACCTCCCCCGCCTCCCCCACCTCCCCCACCTCCACCATTTCCCCCACCTCCCCCGCCTCCCCCATTTCCCCCCTTCCCCGGCCTCCCCCGCCTCCCCCCCCTCCCCCGCCTCCCCCGCCTGCACATTCCATTCTTCCCACCGTGTTGACTCCTCACGCCGCATCTCCTTTTCATGCTGCCTTGTCGTCATCCACACCTCCTCATCACACCTGGGCACACCGCTTGCCATGCCATGCACACCGCTTGCACTTGTAGACGTGTGCCCACCCCTCTCGCCGTCCTCTATCGCCCCTCCTTTCTCCACCCTACCCCTGTCCTTCCCCTCCTCTCCTCTCTCCCTCTGCCTGCTGCTCCTTTTGGTCTTGGTGACTCCCCCCCCTGTGCCTCTGTCCCTCTGTCCCTCCCTCCCTCTGTCCCTCCCTCCCTCTGTCCCTCCCTCCCTCTGTCCCTCCCTCCCTCTGTCCCTCCCTCCCTCTGTCCCTCCCTCCCTCTGTCCCTCCCTCCCTCTGTCCCTCCCTCCCTCTGTCCCTCCCTCCCTCTGTCCCTCTGTCTCTCTGTCTCTGTGCGCGTGCGTCATTGCAGAATCGGCGCTGCATTGTCTTCCGCTCACTTTGAAGCCCGCGGGACCTTGCTGCTGTGGTGCGGCGTGCCATACACATGCCGAGTCTACCCTCCTCACTCACTCGCTCCGCTGCTCATTACGCACTCGCTGGCAGCGCCGTAAGTGCAGCACGTTGCATGCCAGGCATGGCGCTCAGTGCCATGAGTGCTGTGAGCACTGAGAGCCCCCGCCCACGCATCAGAGGCGCGTGGGTTCACGGTGCATGCCACTGCACCGTTTTTACCCGCTCGATTGTGTGCCCTGCTTGTGTGCCTCGTGCGTGTGAGGTGCGCCCGCCCCAGGCCCAACTCAAGTGTACTGCGCACTGCTCTCACCTGCTCCTCTTGGGCCCTCTCTGCAATCAGCTGCCCACTTGCGGCTGCCCTTACACCTCTAGCAGAGTGGCACGGGGGCATCATCGCTCGAGGCGTCAACCCCCATACATCGTCTTCCAGTATGGGCTTTAGTACCTTTTTGTTGTGGTGCAAGTTAATATGAAAGCGTGTTCCTACATCTCTATCAGACATGCCATTTATCAGGTGTGCGCGGTACTTCAGAGTGCGTGGTATCAAAGTTAACGAATGAGTTGAAACAGGACATACAAGGGAATATAACCCAGTGGGTTGTACTCTACAACATACAACATACAAAGATATGTTTGACACACCCCCTAAACTGGATAGGGACAGTGCTTGGTGAGAGGCACGCAGCTCAAGGTGGTACTACTAGTCCAGCCTCTGAGGCAAGGGTCTAAAGACCAGCCAAACAAGTATAAACAAGGCAAGAGCAAAACCAAGGCGGCTCTACTAGTCCAACCTCTGGGAAGTGGCCACAAGGCCAGTCAGGGAAATATATATATAAAGGTCTGTAAACAATCAAGGTCCTAGCAAATGAGAGGCTACAGAAACGAGACCATGCTGTACACAGTGCCGCTGATGAACTTTAGGCGCAAGCGCCTTCGTAAAGATATCAGTTGTGTTGGCACTGGAGGTCAAGTGTACTATGCGGGCCTGGCAGCGCTGCTGTAGCTTGCGCAGAAGGAAGTACCGCAACTGGATTTGCTTCGCTCTGCCCTCAAGTCCAGGCTCCTGACACGGAAGGATCATGGCCCTGTTGTCAGCGTACAGAACCGGGGCAGAGCTAGGCCGCTCACCTAAGTCGGTGAGCAAGAAGGTCAGCCAGCGGCGCTCCTGTGCCGCCATGGCATCGGCGTATATCTCAGCCTCACGGCTAGACTGGGCAACAGACGAGGAGCGAGTGGACCTCCACGAGATGGCACCTGAACCAAGGCTAAAGCAGTAGCCCTGGGAGGACCTGAGAGTCTAGGCGTCGTCTGCCCAAGAAGCGTCTGTGTGCCCGGTAAGGACCACTGGCCTGCGTCCTCCTAGCACTAGCCCCATGCCCGATGTACTTGCTAGATAACGCAAAACCCTCTTAGCTACCAACCAGTGCTGTGGTCGGTGTTTGCCGGTGGCCACAAAGTGAGACAGGATGCTGAGAGGGTATGCGAGATCTGGACGAGTGCAAGTCATCAGGTACATGAGGCAACCCACCAGCTCTGCGTAGGGACCACTAGGCTCTACAGCCTCCTCCGGGACTGGAGCAGAGAGTCTATGGTCTACTGGCAGAGGGGTGGGTTGTGCGGAACAGAACTACAGGCCGAACCTCTGAAGGATCTAGTGCACCAAGTGTGACTGAGAGAGAGTGATGGTGTGCGCTGCTCTGTCCCTGGAGATTTGCAAGCCAAGGTAGTGGAGCAACTCTCCTAGGTCAGTGCGGGTGTGTCTCCTCAGTAGCTCGACCTTCACGGAGGCCAGCGCGTCTCGGTCTAGAGTAGCGAAGACCAGGTCGTCTACGTAGACAAGGATGTAGAACGGAGTCTGGCCGGAACGGACGAAGAGCGAGCGGTCTGCAGATGACGGGAAGAACTTTCGGTCAACAAGTGTAGCACGCAGCGTGTCGTGCCACTTATGGGGCGCTTGTCGCAAGGCGTAGACGGGGCGCCGGAGGAGCCAATCGGTACTAGAGGGAAAGGTTCCAGAGAAGCCTTGGGGCCGGCGCAGGTAGTCCTGCTCGTGTAGACTGCCCTGGAGGAAAGCTGTGGAGAAGTTGAGGGAGTGCAGCTCGTAGTCACGCTGTGCTGCTATGTATAGCAGTGCCCGAAGAGTAGTCATCTTCGGGGTCGGGGCGAAGGTCTGAAAGAAGTCCACCCCCTCATGCTGACTGAAGCCACGAGCAACGTAGCGCGCCTTGAAGACAGGCGGCTCTCTAGGAGGGCGCTGCGCCTTGAAGAGCCATCGGCCATCGACTACGTTCACCCCAGGAGGGGGAACTGCGTCAACGAAGGTACCGATGGATCTCCAAGATGCCATCTCCTGCTCCATGGCAGCTTTCCACTGAGAGGCCCAGGGTCCCGAGACATCCCAACCGGAGGGGACGCGGTGTCCAGCGTGAACAGGCCAGACACCGGGTCCCGGAGGAACGTGGTGAGGGGAGCACCAGTGGTGGCCTCAGTACAGACAGCGTACCGCTCGTGACCAGGGAACGCAGTGGTGATGCCAAGGTCCTGGATGCAGCTGACACCAACTAGGTTCCTAGAGAACGAGGGGATGTGCGGACCTATAAGGGAGCCCGAAGGAACCGCCGGATTCGGAAGGGTGGTGGAGCTACGGGCGACTACAGGACGTGAGGAAGGGTCTACAAGGGCATCTACGGCGGGAGCAAGAAGCGGCGTAAGCGTTTGGAGTCCCGAAAGAAACACCGGGAAGTGCTGGAGTCCAGGGTGAAGGAGAGCGCGGCAGTGGCGGCAGGGTTCGAAGGAGTGAGGGTGGAGCCAAGGCTAAACAAAGCAGGGAATCCTACACCTAACGCAGCATGGGAGCCTGAACTAGGCACACCTACACTAGGCAACAAGGGGTAATATGAACCAATCACACTAGATTCATCGACACACAGCACATACAAAGCAGAGCTTATCTCGTCCATGTCCATATCAAAGATCCTAACAACACGGCAAAGCAGACTGTGCCAGTCGGGGAGGTCTGGCGCCGGGCCGAAGCAGAGATGAAACAGGTCGTCTAGGCGACTGAAACAACGAGTGGGGGTATGGCCGGTCTTACCGCACACGAGGCCGCGTCGAGGACCGGTCTAAAGCTGGTACTGGCAGCGCCCATCACTCGGACCACCACTCGACGTCCCGCTGCACGCACCTCTACTGCGACCACCGCCACCACCGGAGCCAGGCCACCCGAGCGGGAGACGGCTGACTTGCCACTGCTACTGCGGCTGCTGCTGCTGCTGGTCTAGCTGCGGCGCCTTCTGCTGCTGCTGCTGGGGCTGCTGCTCTAAGGGACCAGCCCCAGCCCCCTCGTCAATACTACCAGCGAGCGAACCACCTCCACCACCACCTCCACCCCCTCCTCCACTACCTACGCCGCGCCCAGCCTTGGGGCGACAACCTATACCCGGACGAAATTGCTTTGCGGCAGCCGCGGCGACTGTCTCCGCAGCAGGGGTTGTCTCAGCAACAGCAGTAGAACCGTCAGAGTAAGTGCACTGAGCATGGGCACAGCCCTGAAAGATAGTGACCGGCACAGTACCGCTAGATTGGGCGATAGAGTGCTGACGAGTCTCTATGGCACACAGGGTGTCGACAAAGTCAGTGAGGGTAAGGTCAGCAGGGTGGAGACTAAGAAAGTGATCGCGGGCGGTAGCAAGGCGGTCAGGGAGGTGGGTTGGCAAGCGGGTAGAGGGTAGAGGAGATGGGGGGCTGAAACACACGAAGCTGGGCCTCAGTGCAGGCAGCGCGCCAGGTCGCGTTTAGCGTGCGCAGGTGGGCGGCTAGGTCAGCGATAGTGGAGAACGACGTGAGATGAGGAAAGAGCATGGGCACGATCAGGCGATCGACGGAGAGAGAGGGCGGGGTGGAATAGCGCGCGACAACAGCCTCTAGGAACTCCTGCGCAGTCCTGACCTACCTAAAGTGGGGGCGCTCAGACAGGGGGAGGGCATGACTAATGGTGAGCTCTGTGACAGCGTCACGCGACAACCAGACAGCACGGGTAAGGGCAGCAGCGGCAGCGGACTCTCGGTCAGCAAACGTGGGGTCAGCGGGTAGAGCAGCAGGGGATCATGGCAGGGGAGCGTACCGTCGATGTGGACGGCCAGGGAGCGGCCGTCCTGCCGCTGACCAGTGACGTGACGGCAGAGGTCGATGAGCCACGTGTCGAACTCAACCGGCTGACCCTCCGTGTCAAAGCGCAGCACCGAGTCCGCCATCATGGTCGCTGCAGCAGCAGAAAGGCAGTAGTGGGCTGTACTGAGCGACAGAGTGCGGGGGGAAGCAGTGGTGTGCGATGCGGTGTGGTGCAGTGCAGTAGACTGCGGTAGAGTGAAATGCAGTACGGTAGGGTGCGGTGCAAGGTGGTGCAGGGCGGTGCAGTGCAGGGCGGTGCAGCTGATGGACGGGGCCGTGAGGAATTTGGGCAGCGAGGCCGCGGGGCGGCTGGGAGACGGGGTCACGTGGCGGCTAGGAGACGGGGCCGCGGGCGGCGAGGCGACAGGGCCGGCTAGGCGGCTAGGAGACGGGGCCAGCTAGGCGACGCTGCCAGCTAGGCTATGGGGCCGGCTAGGCGGGCGGCGAGGCGACGGGGTCGGTTAGGCGGCTAGGCAACGAGGCCGGCTTGGCGACAGGGCTGGCAAGACGACGGGGCCGGCGAGGCGACGGGGCCGGCTGAGGGACGGGGCCGGCTAGGCGACGGGGACGGCTGTGCGACGGGGCCGGCTGGGCGATGGGGCCGGCTAGGCGACGGGGCTGGCTAGGCAACGAGGCCAGCTGGGTGACGGGGCCGACTAGGCAGCGGGGACAGCTAGGCGACGGGGCCGGCTGGGCGATGGGGCCGGCTAGGCGACGGGGCCGGCTGGGCGACGGGGCCGGCTGGGCGACGGGGCCGGCTAGGCGACAGGGCCGGCTGGGCGACAGGGCCGGCTAGGCGACGGGGCCAGCTGGGTGACGTGGCTGACTAGGCACTAGGGCCAGCTAGGCGCTAGGTGACGGGGGCCACTAGGGGACGGGCCAGCACGTGCGGGGGGGCGACGGGGCGGCTAGGACCTAGGGCGGAAGCGCTGGTGGGCGGGGGGGCCCTAACCTACTCATGATACCATATCAAAGTTAACGAATGAGTTGAAACAGGACATACAAAGGAATATAACCTAGTGGGTTGTACTCTCTAAGGCACAACACTGTGTAATCTATAACAACATACAATGATATGTTTGACACACGGTACTTAAAGCCATTGGTTAAAAAGGCAAAGCCAGGGCTCTCTTGAAACTAGCAATGTTTTTTTCCACCAGACAAAGATATTGCAATTCATTGAAACGACAGCCTAACAACCCCGACAAGTGAAAGCGATGTTCAGCAAGGACAATCATTGGCACGCGGCAACAACTGCAAGTTTCGTGCAACCAAACGAAGGCACAGGACACACTGCACTTCGCAGCACGACACTCGGCAACTGTGCCATGCGACCAAACCCCCTCCCGGCACTTTCAAGAGGGGCTC